GGGCTCCTAGATTGTCATATATGATCGATTCACTTGTTTTTTCGGGTTTTTGTTGTTAAGAGGGACTACAGGAAGCAACTGACTACTCCGCCATCTTGGCCCTGCTTTCAAAGGACCTGTTTTGAAATAGCAGTCTTTAGAGATGGAAAAGGACTGAAAATGGATAGGAAAGTGTCCAATAAGCATGTTCTAAGGCCCACCCTCAAATCCAAACTTAAATAAGGGTTTAGAAGAATGAAATTAATTTACCTTAGAGGTGGAAGTCTTAAGACAAGCACATTGAGCTTGTATTTCTGTACTGTATTTCAACTAGGAAGATCTTTATGGAATCTAGTTTCCTGGCCATTTCATAAAACTTTAAAAGCAGGGTAGAAAAAGCACTTGAATAATTCACTACAGAAAATAGCTAGCAAGGAACCAAATCCCATCCATTTCAGACTCATTTTGAATTAACTACCCTTCACTTCTCTTTGGAAGGCTATATACTTTGCAGAGAAAATTTCACACTAGTTAGAAGCTAAGTAATCACTGAAACACACATTCATTTCCTTAATTTGTGTGGGCAAATGATCATCTCCAAAGGACCTTTTTAAATTTGGAGGGGAGGTTGCCCAGGTACCATTATCAACCATTCTGACCAGGGTCATAATAGATGGTCCTGGATAGAATGGGATAAAAATGTAGAACACCACTCAAATTCTTTAAAAAAAAAGCCTAGACTAACTGGACCAGTTGAGAGCAGAGGACTCCCTGAGACTACTGCCCTGAGATACTCTTTAAACCTTGAACTGAAACTATCCCGAGATCACCTTTTAGCGAAATAACAGTGTTACACAAACGATATTCCACGTAAGTATGGTGCTATACTAAAAAACCATCTATATGAGATCAAAAGGTCAACATTTATGCTAAAGCAAAGATGAGAAGCGGGCAGGGAAGCCAAGAGTACTGGAAATGGAACAATGAGAACACAAAGAGAATGTTGATACATTGTGAAAAATTTAATGTCACTGGACAGTTTGTATAGAAATTGTCAAGTGGGAGCCTAATTTACTATGTAAACTTTCATAAAAAAAAAGTTATTTAAAAAAAAATTTGGAGGGGAAGTGTTTAAATGGTTAAATGACTGAATTTCAGTTTATAATTTCATACTATTCAAGATTTTTCCTGGAAGTTCCCGTAGCCTTTAGGCATCCCATAAGAGTAATGTTCTACACTTCTGGGTCAGGGAAGAGAGCAAGACAATGTCATTGCCACAATATCAGTTTCTTTCCCATTGTGGTTTCCTGCATTTCTGAGGTCATAAATCTCCTAAGTAGTCTTCTCACAGAGCATTTTGCATGAATATGACATTTTATTACAACAACGAAAAGGGAACAAAATCCCTTAAAATGAAATTTTCATACTTATAGCTGTTGTTTAAAGTTTTTCTCAAAAGAATCATTTGCAACTATCTTTCTAATTCAACAGCCAATTTCTCCTCTCAGCACCCACCTTTTAAATATGCTACAATCTTTCCCTGCCTTCTTAAATCTTTTTCAACCCTAATTCCCTAATATCAAGACTTCATAAATCCTAAATTAGTTAAGATACAGATGGTCCCCCTTACATTTCTTCAGAAAGTGCCTTCTTTGATGTCTAAATGTTTGGATCTTAGCATATCTACTTTTGAGAAAATCTGCTTGGGTTTAGAGCAGTACTGTTCTTAACTTCTCTATAGAATTAGAAAAGTGCTAATCAGCAGAGCAGAATGAGAGGGCTTAGCCCTAGAGGCCTGCTGCAACTCTGAAATTTTTTTGAAGTGTTTTATCTTTAAAAATCATGCCAATTTTGCATTCAGTCCACTATGTTTCATTACCATTGAGTAACTTGATGACCCCTGAGTACCCTTGGTGGCCCTTAATACAGAATGCTTGGCATACAAGTTAGTATGTATGTGATCCAGACTTGCCATGACTATACTGCTGCTCATACATGTGCTTACACACTGACACTATCACCACTTTGTCTCTGAATGTGGAACTGCAGACTCTGGATGGTGAACTTGATGAAAAGTATAAGAAAGTAGAAAATTTAATTGCTAAAAAGACTGAAGAGTCAGCTGATGCCAGAAGGAAAGCTGAGGTGCTCCAAAATGAAGCAAAAACACTGCTGGCTCAAGCAAACAGTAAGCTGCAAGTGCTGAAAGGTAGGTATTTTCACTTAGGCTCATGTTTTCATAAACTAAAGTTTAGGCATCCACAGAGTTTTTTATTTAAGAGATGGAAATCTATTCACTTTGTCTTAGGCAGTTAAATAAGGCCTTATAGGCAAAGAGGACCAGTTTTAATTCTGAGATCATTTTAACAAAAGCTACCCAGATGAAATTTTTCACATTTTATCTCCCAGATGAAATTTTTCACATTTTATCTCCCACAGATTTAGAAAGAAAATATGAAGACAATCAAAAATATTTAGAAGATAAAGCTCAAGAATTAGTGAGACTGGAAGAAGAAGTCCGCTCACTCCTAACGGACATAAGCCAGAAAGTTGCTATTTATAGTACCTGCTTGTAACAGAGGAGGAAGGGCTATAAGGCTGAGGCGACCAAAGTAATAATAGCTACATTTTAAAAACTGACTTAATGATCTTCAAAATAAAACACTCATTACCTATTTAATGTTTTTAATTACCAGATTTTGTATGGAGTTAAATAAAGTACAGTGCTTTTGTATAAATATGTACTTAAGTTCATTGTTACTTTCACTGATTTTGTGTCTGTGAATCTCTTTAACAAACAGAATGTTATTTTTGCTGTGAGGCCAAGATGGATTTATAAACAAGTTTGCTGCCTCCCTGGAGACCCTACTTTATATTGTGTCTATAAATAAGCTATTACTCATCTGCTTGATAGATCAACATCCTCCATAAAATCCACCCCCACAAATCACCTCTCAGTGGGATCCCTGGCTGAGGTTAAGGAGGAATAATTTATCCAGAGCTATGTTCACTATTTCATGACTGATGATTAGTCACTCCAATCTCCAAAACTCCTAGTAGTATTCCACTGTTCTAGGAAAGAGAACATAAAAAGCAGCAATTTCTAGAAAATCGGGATGAACTGTCAACTTGTATTACCACCTAGAATGAATCCAGTGATGCTGAGGGGAAGGTTTAAATTGAATCTGGCCAGTTTCTGGACACTGCACTTGCCAATTCAGCAGTACTAATAAGAAAGAGTACAGACTGATGCTGTAATTTCTCAGCTTTTGTGTTGTATTTTAATTGGTTTCACTTCTAGAATTTTTCTGCTACAATCTGTAGGTTTAGCCAAAACAATCATACAACACTCACACATTCCACAGGATAAAAGAAAATAGCCGGAATGCAACTGGCAAGCCTGTATGTCAATTTTATAGATGAGCTAGCTGGGTAACGATCCAGCCCCTCAAAGTGTCTTTTTCACACATTTTCTTAAAGCAAGACTATTCTGTGTACCTCTTAACCTCTCACACACCCAACACAGCTGGACTTGAAGCTGGGCCTGGACCAACGTTATGTAAACAGCTGTAATTTAAACAATAAGGTAACTTTCCTCTGGTGGTCCAAGCCAATTATTTACCATCTTTATTTAGGTAAGAATCCTAATAACTAGCAAAATGATCATGCCTCATCAGCTACTAGAGCAACTGTTATTTTTCCTTAAATGGTAGGAACCCTCATTACTCCCCATTCCTTTCAACCTTTTTTTCTGATGCCTAACTCTACACCTGTTCTTTCCTGCAAACAACTAAAAATCTCACTTTGAAATGTGAAATCAGTGCCATGAACTGGACAACCCAACCCCATCCTTCACAATCCAAGAGAATATTGACAGTACAGTAGATAATACCAGTTTGAACATTTTAAACTTGCTTTATTCCTACGACTTTATTCCTCATCCAGATGTATTTGCAATCTCATGTTGAATGGGAACCGATAAAGTTGGGTTTAGCTATTTTGTATCTCTCTATAGCTAGGATTTCATATTAAAATACGGTTCACTATACCAGAATTAGAAACTTTTTTCCTCAGAGTAAGGGGACATGTTTGAAGTGTAAGTAAACTAGCACTTCACATAGTATTAGGATTTCAGAAGATTCTAAAGAGATACAGAGCTCACTTCTAATAATGGCAAAGTAGCACATACCAAACCAACCCTCCTGCTGGTAACAATTGTAAACTCTGAACAAAATATTTTAAAAAATGTAAAGGCACTGGAGAGCAACCAAAAGCAGACAGGAAGTAGAAGGGAGCTGTCATTTTGAAGAAGGGTGAATTTCCCATTTTAACAACTTTTCATTTGAGGGCAGGCTCCAGTAAGCAGCTAACTTGGATAGAAACCTGGTCTTAATGGTTAAGGATTCAGGATAGAGTTAGGGCACCCACAGCAACTAGAAAGTGAGGGGGAAATCCAGGAAAGGACAGTAACTCAGAGGAGAAGGGCCCCCAAATACTGTATATACTCTGCTCATCTCTGGCTGACCCTTGACTACACATGCACAGGGCAGACACTTCAAGTAGCCCAGCTAAAGCTAAAACAACTGAAATGTGATTTCAGCTGCTGTCCACTACAAAAAAGACACAGTTTGGAGTTTAATTCAGCCAAGTTACTGCCTGCTGAAACAAAAATTCAATATTCTTCGGGAGTACATAACAGAATCCAGAGTCTTTACAATGTACCATTCATAATGACCACAATACAATCCAACATTTCTGGACATGATGAAGAAACAGGAAAATGTGACCCATCCCTAATGCAATTAAAACCTGACAACTACTAAACGTTTTCCTTTTAGCTATGATCAAATGATGGTATCATGACAGATTAAAGGGTAATAATGACCTCTTAATATTGTCCTACAATGTAAAAAACATAAAGCAGCTATCCTATAAAAGCAATAATAAAGAATAACAATATACATTAGAGGTAGTCATAAAGGAACTAGGAAAGATCATCTTGACACTGACTCAGAATAACCAGTAAATGAAAGACCATATTTATTTCCATATCCTCATTCCCCAATATAATACATCTGAGTGTCTGTTTGAATTCTGTAGCTAAAACCCATTAATATACATAACTATATAATGATCCCTCAGACTTGTAGACCTCAACAGAACCTTAAAAATCTCTTAAACGCATAAATTCTGCCTCTAAACTGCAAGAATGTGGGGGTTAAATAAAACAGGTGAGAACTTTTTTTGCTTACATCAGGTCAGTTTATACATATTTGACTCCCGTTTCTAATATGAAATGCGAGTTTAAAATAACTTGATCACCTTGCTTCAAACACAACTGTTCACATACCATACTCCAGTTCCATCATGTAAGTAAATTCAACTTTACTGTATCAGGGATAAAAGCTACTTAAAATAAATTCAGTGAAGTTGAACCTTTCATAAACAGCATAAAAACATGAGTTGATGGAAATTTTCCAGGAAGCTACTATAAGATTTTTTTTTCTGCAATACTAAGTTTATTTAAAATATAGATGTGGGATTATTCCATTCTGTCCAAACCTATTAAATACCTTCCAAGAGTTCAATACAGTCCTAGAAATTCTTGGAGCTGTGAGCATTTCCTGTTGAAATGTGACTTCTACAAAAGCTCCCAGGAGATTTCAGGAAAAAATATATATATTATCCTCTAATTTAAAAGTTGATTGATTTGCCAAATGATGCAGCCAGGTTTGCTTCTCTAAAAGCTTCTGATAAGGTCTGCAAGGGAAGAAATTTAAAATTAAAGACAAAGTATGTGTGGGTCAGGAAATTTTAGTAACCGTTAATTCTGTATGCTGTTATAGTTACCGGATGCGCGTGACAGACTCTTGCTATATCTTCACAGGATGCTCCATATTCCAAAGCAAGAGCAGCTTCATTTACCATTTCTCCAGCACCCTTTAAAACAATAAGCCAAGAAGTTATTGTATTTCCATGGCAAAAACAACTATGTGCTAATAGAATACCAGATGGTTAAGAGTGCAGGCTTTTAAATCTTACAACTGCCTTAAATCTTTTTGTTGCTAAAAACTGCCTCAAGAAAAGCTTAAAAGACCAACAATAACCAAAAAATATGCGTGTGGTTAGACAAATATGTATATAAGCATGTATGTGTATAAGTATGAATGGGTACATTTGTGTGCACAGACAAATGTATCTATAGGCGTATGTACATACAGGTATGTGTGTGCCTACATGTATATTCACGTATATCATAAACCACATAGGAAACACAGTTACAGATACTACTTAGACATAACCAAATGCCTCCTGAGATTGGTTTTCTGGGTTTGAAGGCTCAGGACCAGTCTCATGTGACAACTCAGTTAATTGGCATAATACAGTTCATAAAGTGTATGTTCTACATCCCAATGCAGTGGGTAGTGTCTGGGGTCTTAAAAGCTTGCAAGTAGCCATCTAAGATACAACTATTAGTTTCTACTCATCTGGAACAAAAGAGAAAGAAGGAAACCAAAGGCTCAGAAAAGAAACTAGTCTATAGGACTAACAGTTCTACATGAACAACAGCCTCGTCTACCCTGAGACCAGAACTAGAGGGTGCCTGGCTACCACTACCAACCATTCTTATTAGGGCCATAATAGATGGATCCTGATAGAACGGGAGAAAATTGTGAAACAGAACTCAGATTCTTAAAAAGTCAAGACTTAACTGGTCTAGTTAAGACTAGAGGACTCCCCAAGACTATAGCCTGAGATAGTCTTTAAATAAACTTTAAACCAAAATTATCCCTTGAGGTCACCTTTTTGCTAAAAGACTGGCTCATAAAAAAAGAATATCACCCCTGAGTACTGAGCTCCTTTAAAAAATCATCTATATAAGACCAAATGGTTAAAAATTACTCGAAAGCAAAGATGAGAAGGTAAGAGGGGCAGGGAAATTAAGAGTACTGGAAATGATATAACCAGAACATACTGAACGAGAATGACAACACATTGTGAAAATGTAACCAATTATCACTGCATAGTATGTGTAGAAATTGTTAAACGGAAACCTAATTTGCTGTGTACTTAAACACAATAAAATATTATTAAAAAAAAAAGGTTTAATAGAAAAGGTGACACAAAAAAGTTTAATAGAAAAGGTGACACAGAAGTTAAGAGCTTGGGCTCTGGAGCCAGATGGGCTGGATTCAAATCCTACCACTTACTAGCTCAATCACTCAGTGGTTCTATGCTCCATTCAAGCACAGAGAAGAGCTTCTTTATCACTAAAATGGAAATAATAGCAGCACCTATTTCAGAGGTTTGCTGTGAAAATGAAATAAAGTTAATGCAAATACTTAGTAAGATCATCATTAACATAAGATAACTGGGACATACACCTTAGACTGAGTGGTCAGGAAAGGCTTCTCTTCAGGACAACATTTGAGCTGAGACCTGAATAAGGTGGCAGCCATGCAAAGATCTGGAGGCAGAGAATTCTAGACAGAAGGAAGTATAAGCACAAAGCCCTAAGATATGAATAAGCTTGGTCTGTTATAAAACTGAAAGCAGGCCCATGTGGCTTGGAATTAATGAGCAAAAGGAGGAGAGTGGAAAGAGATGAGGTCAAAAATACAGTGAGGAGCAGATACAGTGGGCCTTGAGTGCAACAGTCAGAAGTTGAGAAGCAGCAATGGAGGTTTTTAAGGAGTGACATGACCTGATGTATGTCTTAAAGGAATAATCTTAGCTGCAGCATGGAAAGTAGACGATGTGGGGGCAAGGGTAAGACTGAGAGTGCTGTTGGTGCTAGGCTAGGAACAAGCCAGAGAGAGGCCATATTAGAACTTTTGCTGGTAATTAATAACCCCACAATGCAAACACCAGGTGGTTTAAAATTAATTTACTAAATAGCAATGCTTTCCAGAAACCCTAATCACAATTCTCTGGTTTTACAATACTCACTGGTCCTAGAATATGCGCTCCCAACACTCTGTCCGTTGATTTCTGCCCAAGAATCTTCACCATGCCATCTGTGTCAGCATTCGTTTTAGCTCTGCTGTTAGCAGCAAATGGGAATTTCCCAACTTTGTACTCAATACCCTGTGAGACAGAAAATGAGAAACCACATAAGCACTGGAAAAGTTCATGCCCATTGGTGAAATCATGTACCATTTGTTCAGAAAATAAAGTCCAAGGAGGCAATTCTTCATAGACTATATATAAGGAAAGACCAAACGCTGATTAATTAAATCAATTTTGGGTACAAATGCAAGCAAATGCAAATGTCTAACTGGTTATATTTCAAAGCCAAATATAAGTTTTGGAATTAATAGTTTTTGAACTACAGGCAACTTATCCTCCTCTACACTGTTGCTGATAAATCCAAGGAGTGAATGGTCTCCTTTATAATGCCAACAAAGAAAAAAAATATAAAAACCTTGGTGTGTATTCTGCTGTATTTTCAACAACAAAAATAATGATTTAAAAATAATACATATATGTAAACTTAACCATAATGTTCTACATGTACTAAAATACATTAACACAATAATAAAATGCTTTTGCTCAACCACCAGTATCATAAGCTCAATTTACGTATCGGTGTAAAACCGTTCAAGCTCAGAATTACCTCTTCTTTCAACTGCTCTTCTGATTTGCCAACCCAAGCAACTTCAGGGTGTGTGTAAATCACCGATGGCACACAATTGTAGTCAATGTGCACAGCACCACCAGCCATTCCTTCAACACAGATAATGCCTTCATCTTCTGCTTTGTGAGCCAGCATTGGACCAGCAACTACATCACCAATAGCATAGATACTACCACAGGGATCAAAACAAACAGTGAACTTCTAAAATCTCAGATAACACTCATCTTCAGTCATACCATGGTAACAAAAAAGTTTCTAGTTACTAGGTCACCAAAAATATATCAAATACAGCTCTCAAAGATTCGTGAATGAGTTCAGTTTCTAAACTTTGGGTAACGAAAAAATTCAATTAATTATTTTTTATTTTACATCTATAAATTTACTATCCTTCCCCAAAGTCAATGCATTTTTTTAAGTATGACAAGAGTCTTATTTTCAAAATAAGGATGTTTAAATAAATTTTAACATTACTGAAAATGCAGATAAATTATTCAACTTACTTTGGCAGTTTAGTTTGGAATCGGGTATTCACTGGAATTCTACCTCTGGAATCTAGTTCAATTCCAAGCTCTTCCAGTCCCAAATTCTGAGTAAAGGGTCGTCGGCCGATGCAAACCAAGAGTACATCACAAGTGATAAGTTCAGCTTTCCCACCAGAAGCAGCTTCAATACTAGACAACGAACAGTGTATTACTGTTAAACACGTATCTACATAAATAGTTGATTTAACTGGAAATTTAAGACCAGAGATTCTTCAAGTGTTGATGATATTTCTAACAAAGTTTATTTTATTATAAACATAACAAGGATTAGGCAATGAAAAAACATACATACTCACTAGAGGTCTACCATTAAAACCAGGGCTTTAAACCGGTTCAAACCAGTTCAGTCATGGGCAACAAAGCAAAACTGGAACAGACTTGAATTTTACAATTTGGGGGATCCAGAACCATAACCAGAATGGAAAAAATTATGGGCCTAAGCCTTGGAATGGAAGACTTGGAAAGGTGGAGGAAGTCCTTTCAGGAGACTGATGCATGAGACTGGATTATTGGCAGGACAGGGGAAAATGATACACATTCAAAGCGGCACAGTAGACTGAGTGGGGCACCACTGTTTACAGCTGCACAAAATCTGAAGAGCAAGAGATTTGACTGCTATGCAACATATATGCTGCCCTTGTTTTCTAAGAGGTAGATTAGGTTTCTAACACGGCTTTGACCTGTAATTTTTCCCATTCTGGTTATGGTTCCAGTTTCACCCAAATTCTAAAAATTTGGGTCTGTTCCAGTGTCACTTCCTTGGTCATGACTGAACCGGTTTGAAGCACTGATTAAAACCTCACAAAAACAGGTTGTAAAAGCACAGTGGTTAAAAATATAGGTCACCGAGTCAGAAAGACCCACATTCAAGTCCTCCTAGCTCTGCCACTCCCTAACTGTATAACTTTAGGCAAGTTATTTCATTAAATTATATAAGTATTTAGTAAGTAGAATGCCAGGCACATACCAAGCAATCCAATTAATATTAGTTATTATGGATTTCCCCATATAGCTGTCTAAAAATATTCAATCTATCTTACTGAATACTGGGAGTTTTAAAATTTCAATTGTATACACTGAAAAGGTACGTTACAATAATGACAACAATGGTTTAATTTTTCTACCATCAATTTAAACATGAACTTCAACGGACTAATGCGATAAGCAACATTAAGTTACAGTAAGCAATAACATGGTCTTGAATAACAAAAAAATGAAATTTGCTAATCTGATTTTAAAACTTGAGTGTTTTTCTTCAAGAAACACTGACAAGCATGATACTATCAAAAACAAATGTAGCATACTTACGAAACATCAATTTTTCCATCTGACTTCTTGGTAGCACCAGTAACCTTTGTATTCAATTTAAATTTAAATCCCTGTTTTTGAAGGATACGTTGAAAGTTTTTAGATATCTCCATATCAATTCCAATTCCACCAATATGACCCAAAAACTCAACTGCTGTCACATCTGCACCAAGTCTTTGCCACACCGAACCCTGCAAATAACCATAAAAACAAAATCATTGTTAAAAACAGAAATAAAGATTTCTATAATAAATTTTCACTAAATCACCTTCATTAACTATATTTTCTTATTTTGCTAATTAGAAGCTCTAAGGTTTAAAATTAACCCTGTGACAAATACATATAACTCAATATATTCGTTCACTCATTCAACATTTACTGAGCACCTACTATGTCCTGGAGCCCCGGTGGCACGGTGGTTAAGCACTCAGCTGCCAACCAAAAGGTCAGAAGTTCCAACCCACCAGCCAAGGGAGAAAGATGTGGCAATCTGCTTCCTTAAAGATTACAGCCTTGGAAACTCTATGTTGTTGTTGTTTGGTGCCGCTGAGTCGGTTCCGACTCATAGCAACCCTATGTACAACAGAACGAAACACTGCCTGGTCCTGCACCATCCTCACAACCCTTGTTATGCTTAAGCCCACCACTGCAGCCACTGTGTCAATCCATCTCCTTAAGGGTCTTCCACTTTCTCACTGACCCTCTACTTTACCAAACATGATGTCCTTCTCCAGGGGCTGATCCCTCCTGATAACATGTCTAAAGTATGTGAGACGGAGTTTCATCATCCTTGCTTCCAAGGAGCACTCTGGTCATACTTCTTCCAAGACAGATTTGTTCGTTCTTTTGGCAGTCCGTGGTATATTCTTCTCCAACACCACAATTCAAAGGCGTTAATTCTTCAGTCTTCCTTATTCATCATTCAGCTTTCACATGCATATGAGGCAACTGAAAACATCATGGCTTTGGTCAGGCCCACCTTAGTCATCAAGGTGACATCTTTGCTTTTCAACACTTTAAAGAGATCTTTTGTAATAGATTTGCCAATGCAGTGCATCTTTTGATTTCTTGACTGCTGCTTCCATGGCTGTTGATTGTGGATCCAAGGAAAATGAAATCCTTGACAATTTTAATCTTTTCTCCATTTATCATGATGTTGCTTACTGGTCCAGCTGTGAGGATTTTTGTTTTCTTTATTGTTGACATGTAATTCATACTGAAGGCTGTGGTCTTTGATCTTCATTAGTGCTTCAAGCCCTCTTCACTTTCAGCAAGCAAGGTTGTGTCATCTACATACTGCAGGTTGTTAATGAGTCTTCCTCCAATCCTGATGCCCTCTTCTTTGTACAGTTCAGCTTCTAGGATTATTTGCTCAGCATACAGATTGAACAGATACAGTGAAAGGATACGACCCTGATGCACACCTTTCCTGGAAACTCTATAGGGCAGTGCTACTCTGTCCTATAGAGTTGCTATGAGTTGGAATCGACTCAGTGGCAACAGTTTTTGGTTACTATGTCTAGGCACCATAGGGTACATAAGTGAACAAAACAAAAATCCCTGCCCTCAGGGATCTTATATTGTGGTAGAGGTGACAAATAAGTAAAATTTCATGTCAGAGGATAATAAAGTGCTATAAAAAAATAAGCAGAAGTGTCGATCAGGGATTAGTGAAGGGAGAGGAGCTGCAATTTTCAATAATAGTGTGGTCAGAGAAGGCCTCACTAGGAGTGACATTTGTGCAAAGACTTGAGAGGCATTCCCCAGGATGCGAACAAGATCCATTCCTAACTACGTCTTTAAGTCTTTAAAAGTTGAATTTGTAGTTAAGTTGGAACAGCTGCATACAGTTCTTACTTAGCCTTACTTTATTATAAGGAAAGGCTCGAAGACTTTTCAATGATTTAAAAGCTGCACATGTAGCAAGTGAAGGTGATTGTGACGCAGAATTTGTCGGAAGTAGAGGTTTGTTCAATTGTTTCAAACTGAGGGCAAATTTACACAACATTTAAAGGCAAGAATGAGTTGTCTGTTAGTCAGACGTTTATAACCCGGGGACTGCCTGTATACAGATAACTGTGGGAAGAGTGTTTCAGACAGAGAGCAATAGCAACTGCAAAGGCCTTAAAGAGGAGAAAGTAGACTCTTACTGCTACTAACCACTTATATTCGTAAAATATTAAACTTACTTCGTATTTCAAGGAAGTAGAAATTTTTTTTATTCAATTATAATTTTAACTGAGATTTTTTTTTTTTAAATTAACAGACTTCATTAAGGAATTACATTAGAAGTATGTTATGCATATCAAAGAAGTACTCTCCACAATTTAGAATATTATGTTTTGTATTAAACACCACTGACAAGTTATCCTGACAGACTGGACTGACCAAAATGATGACAAAATAATGGATCCAGGAGACCTAAGTACTAAGCATTAAGGCAGGCAACGGACATTCAAATATCAATAAAATTCAATTCCCTGAATTCAAGGAGCTCGTGGTCTTATAGGAGAGACACACATAAACAGATAAATGCAATATACTGTTATTAGCAAATGCTACAGGGATCGTGACACAGTATACTAAGGACTCAAAGAAGGAAATATTCAAGCTTTTCAAGACAGAAGAGAGAAGTCTTCACTAAAAAAGCAATTTCTAAGTTTTTGGTATTTATTATGTCAACAAATATTTATTGAGTAGTGACTGTAATGGTAATAACATGAGATAGTTTGTGAGTACTTATTCTGTATCAGGTACTATTATTGTTGTGGGGTGCCATCGAGTCAATTTCAACTCATAGTGACCTCATGTGACAAGAGTAGAACTGCTCCATAGAGTTCTCCAGGCGTTAATCTTTACGGGAACAGATCGCCAGGTCTTTTTTCCCATGGAGCTGTGAGGTGGGCTGAAACTGCCAACCTTTCCGTTAGCAGCCAAGCACTTAACCACTGTGCCACTAGGGCTCCTTTTTAGGTACTACACTAGATGTTAGACATATAGCAAAACAGCATTATCTCTGCCCTCATGTAGTTTATGGTCTAATGAACAGGTAATATACAGAAAGTGAGAATAAACACTATAAGAAGCACGTAAGTGCAGTGCAGTTGAACATACAGGAAGAGCACCTAACAACACCCAGGTAGTCCAAGAAGGGCTCACAGAAGTACAGGACTGGTGAAGGGGGGGAAAATGTTCCAAGCAGAAGGCAGGCCTGCAGGGAAGAGAGAGCGCAAGGCTTGTTCCAGAACTGATATTTTGATATACCCAGAACAGAGTTTTAGTGGGAGAAGGCCAGAAATGTGGCTGGCGAAGTGAGCCAGGTCAAATCATGTTGACTTTTAAGCAACACTAAAGAGTCTGGATTTATCCTAAAAGCAATAGTGAGCCGCTGAAGGATTTTAAGCAGGAAAAAGACATGATTAAATGTGTGTTATAAAAAGATCACTCCAGCCACTATGGGGAGAATAGATTAGAAAAAGAAGAAAAAAGCCAGGGAGACCTAGGCAAGACATGGTGGTGGCCTGAGCTAGGATCTAAGTAGTATGAATAAAAGTGGGTATATTCAATAGATACATATCAGGTAGAATCACATTAGGACCCAGTGACTGATAGAATTTGGGGCATAAAGCCACGGGCATGAAGTCACATATAACTCCCAAACTTCTCAATTAGGCCTCTACATTGATGGTACCAATCGCTGAGATGGGAAATATCACAAGAGAAAGAGGCTTTGTTTTGGGTGGTTAAGTTATACATTCACTGAAATGAGCACCTGCGAGACATACAAATAGAGATGCTGGTAGACATTCAGATATAAAAGTCCAGAGACAAGAGAGAGGAACAGGATGCAGATATTTGTGAGTCCTTGGGTAACTGAAGTGGGGTTGAAGAGAATATTCTGTGGAAAGACAAAAAGGATCTGGGATAGAACCTTAGGACAGAATCTCAAGTAATGCTGACAATGATAGCGAAGGCTGAGACAGAGGAACTTGCACAGAAGATGGAGAAGGGTCAGCCCAAAGGGTAGATACAATACCAGCACAGTATAGAATCAGAGAAGCTGGGGAAAGAATTTCAAAGCGAAGAAAATCTGCAATGCTGATCGCTGCCAAATAAAACAGTGAAGAAAATAGTTCAACGGATTGAGCAGTAAGTCTATTTGTGTCCTTGTCAAGAGTAATTTAATGTCACAAGAAGCCACGAACTGAGGAGTGGAAGTTCATGAAATAGAGCGTGGACAGTTACTTCAAGAACTTTGGCTGTAAAGAGGAGAGAGCGAGAAAGTAATTAGAGAAGAACACGGAGTCAAGAGAAGGCTTCTTTACGTGTACACAAGCCTGTTTCTATGAGTATGAATGCATCTGAACAAGTATGACACGCAGATGCACACATAAAGGCATACTTAAATATAAATGAAAAAGAAGCAGAAGTAAAAAAGTGTGAAGACTGAAAAATAAAAGAAATAAACACTATAAATCACAAAACCAAGTCTCTGAGATGGCAGGAGATGATGTCCATCAAAGAACAAGTGAAGGGAATAGTTTTAGAGAAAACAGCATGTGCACAGTAAGGAAGATCAAAAGGATGAGTGTAACAAAAGGTAAAAACATTTTCAAATCTGGGACATCAAGTTGAGGGAGCTGTCATCTGATATATTGTATTTTTATGTGATATTTTTATGTGCAGTGGCAGAGGTTTGAGAAGAATGGGAAATGAAACAGCCATTTCAGGGACCAGCAAAGTCTACCAGCTAGAAAAACAGTGGGACTGCCAGCAAGGTTGAGTTCCTGACCAAGAATTTATACAGGCACCAACTTGCAAGTTGTGTGTTTTTCTCCAGGGGCAGTCAATAGCCTGGGTACAGTACTAAAAAGGTAAACAGCTGAATTCAAGCAGGGCTAGAGCTTTGCCAAGCAGGTGAGTGAACAGCAAGGCAAACGACTCAAGGACACCTGAAAGAGAGCAGTTAACGTGATGAACTGTGAAATCTAAGCTGATCAGGAATATAGTGTTAAGACAAGAAAGGACAGATAAGGAAAAACTAGAGTTATCTATGGACTAAAAAACCTACTAAATTAAACAGCCTGTATACTATCAATAACTGAGCAAAAGAGGAAAGAAGGTTGTGGTTAGAGAGGAAAATGTCTGAATTACACCTACTCCTCACTTATCGACTACCTTGTTATCTGATATTCTGCATTTACGACAGTAGTAAAAAAAATCTACTATCTGACTATTTTACCAATTACAGATGAGCCGAGGCAGGAGGGGGAGGAGGAAAAGGAGGAGGGTGAGGTTTGTGAGAGGGAGTGAGGTCGTGTGGGCCACCAGGGGTTTGTATTACCCAGGTTGGGCAGAGGAGCCATGTTGGACTGCTACACAGGAGGAGGGAAGGCTGGGCCAAGAGGAGGCAGAGGGAGCCGGGGCCACAGGAGTCGGGTGAGGGACTCGGAAGTCCCTTCTTCCAAAGAGGCCTCTCTGCCACCTCGACAGCCTCCCCCAGGCCCAGGTGGCCAGGCCTCACCTGCCAGCAGGCCTAGGAGCCACCCACTGCCAAGGCCTATCTCCAGGGCCAGCAGAGCAGAAAGGTGGAGAGGAGAGGCATGGGGGTCCATGTGGAGGCCTGGAGTGCAATGCCGATTTTCACATAATGACCTGGTCTTTGAAGCCTAACCATGTTGGTAAGTGAGGAACAGGTGTAATTATTTCAGAGGCAGAGCAATTCAATCACTAAGGTACAATGGCCCTAGGAAAGAATACCTAAAATGGAGGGAAGAAGAGGTCGTTAGAAATATGAGAAAAGGTGCCATATGGACAAGAAGGGAGAACACTGCAGGAGGAAGGTATGAAATAGCATGGAGTATTCAAGGAATTGCAAACAGTTTGACATTCCTAAAGCCTAAGTCAAGAAGGATTTAGGTGAGGACGGAGAGAACTCAAAGAGCCAGATCATGTAAAGTTATGGTAAGGAGGACAGCCTTTATCTGGGATGCAACTTCCTCAACATGAGAGCTGTCTTCAAATATCTGAAAGGCTGTCAGATTTTTTTAAAAAAGAGACTAATTATAGGAAATAGAACGAGTGGACAATACAGGGAAGTAAATTTCAAATAAAGAAGAGCATTCTAATGATTTAGTACATAAAAATTTTCTTGAAAACAGGTGTACCCTTTACTATTAGAAGTGTTCAAGCAAAACTGAATGCTAATCTGCCTGAGATGCTAATAAGCAGAAAATTAAATAGAGGACCTCTCAGTCCCTTCCAACTCCATGGAGGTAATAACAGACAGAAACCATTTACCAATTCTACACCTATTACTCCTGCACCAATGACAACCATCTTCTCTGGAACTTTTTTTAAAGACAAAGCACCTGTAGATGACACTACTGTATCTTCATCAATCTACAAGGAAAACAAAAGATATAATCAAAATTACTTGGAAAAACTTAACGATTTGTAAACTGTGACCTCATGCAGCCTAATCACTAAAAATACTGTCATTTGTTTTGATATTTATCTCTATGACTTCTATCCAGATGCCAAATTTTGTCAAATCCTATTAAAATGCTACTTTTAGAACTTTATCATTCGATGTTTCAAAACAAAATGGCCAATTTTAACTTCACGTTGAATTCAAATATATTTTAATACAAATTGTTCTGTATCTGGTCCAAATCACTGCAGAACAAAGACAGGCAACTTCCCAAAGTGATTGACTGCCAAAATATAGTATTTCAGTAAAAAATCTCTCAAAATTCATAAACATCATGAATTTATAAACATTTATTTCTAAAGGAAAGTTTTAACAGTTGTAAGTTATAAAGCACAAATACCGTGATTCCAGGAAAGGGAGTAACTTCTGAACCTGTAGCTATGAGAATGTTCTTTGTATCAATAACTTGGGTGCTCCCGTCATCCTTAGAAGCAGTGACCTGATTTTTGCCAGTTATCTTCCCATATCCATTTACGTGAATGACCTTTACAAAATAATGTTTAAAAAGTCACAAAGTTTAAAATATTTTTTTTGATAAACATGAATAACAGGAAAATTTATTAAATAAATGTATCAAATACAAAATGCTTCCTTCTTTAGTAATACTACACATTGAGCAGCAAAAAACAAACAAAAAAGTTGCATATGTCAGAGAAAGCTATTTCAGGTTAGCACACTGCTGTAAATTAGAAAAATATCCCCCCATAGCCAGGTTCAAATACCATCACTCTATTAACATAAAGCAATGTTTAACGTGTATATAAAATAAAGCAGAAATCTGAACATTAAACATACTGACCTTATTCTGTTTGAATAAGTGGGCAATTCCACCTGTTAAAGCTTTTACTGCAGTATTCTTCTGCTCCATCATCTTCTCTAAATTTAAGCGAACTTCAGACACTGTAATTTGTTAAATAAATTTTTAGTCCTTATCTAAATTCTGGAAGCTACATGTGATATTTTTCACTAATCAGCGTCTGGAAAATTTAAGCCTAATGTTTATAACCAGTTACTGTTGACAAGTTGATTCCATCTCATGGTGATTCCACGTGTGTGTCAGAGTAGAACTGTGTTCCACAGGGTTTTCAGTGTCTGAATTTTCAAAAACAGATCATCAGGCCTTTCTTCCAAGACACCTCTGGATGGACTCCAAGTGCCAACTTATTGGTTAGCAGCTGAGTACTTAACTGTTTGCATCACTCCAATGCTTACAGAACCGTATAAAATGCAGTATGAAATTTTTTTACTGAGGTGATTCTCACAGTTGACAAAAGAGCAACATCATATCAAAATTAATGAGAATTATCAAACACTGTAAGAAGTCCACTTTCAGGAAAAAGGCAGTCCAAAATAAAATATTATACTATACTGTGACAACATCAGGAGCCCTTGTGGCACAGTGGTTAAAACACCCAGCTGTGAACCGAAAAGTCGGCAATTCAAACCTATCAGCCACTCCACAGAAGAAAGATGTGGCAGTCTGCTTACATAAAGATTTACAGCCTTGGAAATCCTATGGGGCAGTTCTACTTTGTTCCATAGGGTTGCTAAGAATTGGGATCAACTCGATGGCAGTGGGTTTGGAGGGTTTTGGTGACAACATAGTCTCTAAACACCTTACAATGGTTTTAAGTCTGGAAGAGATTTAAGTAGAAATGGCAAAGTAAAAAACCAATAAAAACACACATTTGAAAATTTCAAATGGAGAAGCTTAACATAAAAGAATTTAATATACTAGATTTTAATTACTTAATTCAGAAGAGAACTCCAAAACAACAATATAAGATAAAAATGCTCAACTCAATAGAACTTTAAAGGTAAGAAAGGTATTTTAGAAATCAGCTCATGCAACCAACACTTACCTTAGAGATGCGAAAACAAAGACTGAGAGACTTCTGCTTTACCCAAGGACAAAGAGCTTGAAAGTAAAGCTCTGCCTACAATGTGGGGCTCTTAACTACCCTTACATCTTCTTCCCTTACATCATTCAATTTTTCATCTAGTTTAATGTATTTGCTTTAGTGTACATACATCTCCTCTCATTCACTGGACTGCCTATACTGCAGCATCGTCTTTCAGAAGCCTACTGATGCATAAAGTGATACTCATGAGGAGTGTGCCTCTTAGCTCAAAGTAGATACAAGAGACCAAAGGGGAAGCTTCCATCCAGAGGTGAGACAGGAAGGCAGAGAGGGTTAGGAGCTGGTTGAATGGACATGGGGAATCGGGTGGAAAGGAGGAGTGTGCTGTGGCAGAATGGGGTGAGCAATTACGGTCACATAATAATGTATACATAAAATTTTGCATAAGAGACTAACTTGAAATGTAAACTTCATTTAAACCAAAAATAAATAAATAAAAATAATAAAAAGAAGCCTACTGATGCAAAAAACAAACAAACAAAAAACCCCAAACAAACAAATGAAGGAAAAGTAATACCCCAAGATGTGTCTGAGATGCTCTCTAGAACAGACTGCCCTTCTGCAAGTACTTGTCAACAGCAATAGTTGGAAAGGAGAGATGGAAATGAAAACAGCCAAAAACAATGACAGGATACAGACATACCAAATTAAAATCTTAAAAAATGTACTATTTCTTTTCTACTATATCTCCTCCCTCTCTTCTCTGCTCTTTTCACAACCAACAACTTAGACAGAGCTTCCTTCCTTCATCTGCCCATAGCACTCAGGGACTCAGCCTTCTGAATAAACTCCAGGATTCAGAAAAATGAAAACTGACTTCACACACACACAAAAAAACTGAAGTGGGATTTCATGCAAAAGCTAGCCACAGAACACAACATGTCATGGTAGAAATCTGGGTTTCAACTCTTAAGTAAATCTCTCTACATTTTCAAGATTCTTTCTCTTAGGGAGGCAGGGCCAAGACGGCACAGCAGTCAGACACTTCTGGTGGTCCCTCTTACAACAAAGACCCGAAAAAACAAGTGAATCTATCATATATGACAATCTAGGAACCCTGAACATCAAAGGCAAAGTTGAGGAATCGAACTGAGTGGCGGGGGAGGGAGAGACAGTTCAGAAGCAGCAAATAGTTGCCACACTTGACCTGGCAGGAGCCAGTGCCCTGTGGGCCAGATCGGCTGGCCATGTGCAGTGAGACAGGCAGTGGCATTTGGGATGCATCTTCCACGTTGGGAGAGACCAAGCGGCGGAGAGTCTGCTCATGCCTCCAGCGCCAGTGAAAAGCGGTCCTCAATCAGCAAAAGATAAGGACCTGCATTTAACCTACCACGCAGATCAAAAAACACCCCCGTTGGTGTTCACCTACTCCCTCCCTGCTCTGCATCAGGTCCCACGCTGGCTTCAGTGACTGCTGAGTCCCCTGGGCTGGAAGTAGGACCTGTCACACACCCTGAGCCATTCTCCCGGCTTTGGAGAGGGGAAAAAGTAACAAACAGGAAAAAATAATCTGCCAGCTCCCCTAAGCTGGGAACTCAGGGCAGGTACAGCTCTTTTGCCTAGGCACAAGCAAAGGGGTCCATGAACTCTGAATGCCTTTCACCCTTGCATAAACCTGTGTGGGCCCATTTCAACAGCGTAGGCCCTCATTACACAGTACACCAGGGAATATACCAGAAGCCTAACTTCGCTGTATGAGCTATACGGTGGAGCAGCAGGTTCGTGAGATTTGTTACCACTGTGCCCATTAAGCAGGGTCCTCACCTACCCACATCAGGGGCCTGAAGACTGGTGGCTCCACCCATGCCACCTAGCCGCCCACCACAGGGGTCCAAGAATAAGTGGTGCCTTCCAGTTCTTAGAGCTAACAGCATTGGGTGTTCATAGTCCGGGTGCAAAAACCCACCCACCTACGTGCTCTAGCGAACAGGGACACGCGTTCCTCCCAGATACTCAGGGGCAGCCATCAGCCCCCTACTTTGCTCAGTGCATGACCCCCTACTGCAGCCAGATACCTGTGCCTACTCCAATCACCCCTGTCCATCTAGGACTGTAGGTGAGAGCCGGAACCACGCACTTTCTGACCGACTATCTGGACACCTGAGCTGAATCTGTACAAGAAAAGTAAACGGACTCCTGGGCTCATATACCTAGTAACAGATCTAACCACCTGGTGACAGAACGTTAGAGCTTCAAAGGTGCCAATAATCAAACTAGCTCACACAAGCAGCCTACGTGGGCATATCAAAACAAAACAAAACAAGTTAGGATACAGTAAGCAAACAAAATAAATATAATAACTAATGGATGTCTCAGAGACAACAGTCAATAACAGATCACAAGAGGCACACCACGATAGCTTCAGCAAGCTCCCAAAACAAATACTCAAGAAATTTTCTGGAGGAAGAGAACTTCTTGGAATTACGGGAGGCAGAATACAAAAGATTAACATACAGAACTCTCCAAAAGATCAGGAAGGAGTTCATGCAAAACGCAGAACAAGCCAAGGAACACACAGATACAGCAATAGCGGAACTTAAGAAGATTAGAGAAGAGCATAATAACAAATTTAACAAGCTGCAAGAATCCACAGAGAGACAGCAATCAGAAATCCAGGAAAACAACAATAAAATTTCAGAATTAGACAACTCAATAGAAAGTCATAGGAGCAGAATTACGGCAACGGAAGTGAGAATTAGTGAGGCTGAAGATAAAGCACTTGACACCAACCTATCTGAGGAAAAATCAGATAAAAGAATTTTTAAAAAATGAAGAAACCCTAAGAATTATGTGGGACTCTATCAAGAAGAATACCCTACTTGTGACTGGAGCACCAGAACGGGGTGATAACAGAAAATACAGAGAATTGTTTAAGATTTGTTGGCAGAAAACTTCCCTGATATCGTGAAAGATGACAAGATATCTATCCAAGATGCTCATCGAACCCCACATAAGGCAGATCCCAAAAGATAGTCACCAAGACATATTACAATCAAAATTGCCAAAACCAAAGATAAAGAGAGAATTGTAAGAGCAGCTAGGGAAAAACAAAAAGTCATCTAAAAGGAGAGTCAGTAAGACAAAGCTTGGACTACTCAGCAGAAACCATGCAGGCAAGAAGCCAACGGGATGACATCTATAAAGTCTTGAAGGAAAAAACCTGCCAGCCAAGAATTACATATCCAGCAAAACTGTCTCACAAATAGGATGGCAAAATTAGGGCATTTCCAGATAAACAGAAGTTTAGGGAATTTGCAAAAACCAAACCAAAATCACAAGAAATACTAGAGAGAGTCTTCCGGTTAGAAAATCAGTAACATCAGATAACAACCCAAGACTAGAACACAGGGCAGAGCAACCAAATATAAACCCAGATAGCGAAGCCACAAAAATTAATCAAAGCTAAAACACTGAAAATCGGAAAACAGACGTCAGTAGGTAAAAGACAACATTAAAACAAAAAAGATGGACTAAAAAAATGTGGTCACAGATCTTTCATATGGAGAGGAAGTCAAGGCACTATAAAGAATTAAAAAAGTGGTTTAAACTTAGAAAAATAGGGGTAAATATTAAGCTAACCACAAAGGAAACTAACAATCCTACAAGTCAAAATAAAAAACATTAAAAACATAAAGACAGCAAATACAAAATCAACAACAATGAAAATACATAAAGAAAAACGACTCAGCATAGAAAATTAAGTGGAACAAAGAAACTGTCAACAACACACAAAAAAAGACATCAAAATGACAGCACTAAACTCACACCTATCAATAATTACGTGGAATGTAAATGGACTAAATGCACCAATTGAGAGACAGAGAGTGGCAGAATGGCTAAAAAAACCACAATCTGTCTATATGCTGCCTACAAGAGACACACCTTAAAGACACAAACAAACTAAAACTCAAAGGATGGAAAAAAATACATCAAGCAAACAACACTCAAAAAAGTGCAGAAGTGGCAATATTAATCTCTGACAAAACAGACTTTAAAATCCAACACAAAGGATAAGGAAGGACACTGTATAATCAATACACCAGGAGGACATAACTGTAACATTTACGCACCCAACAACAGGGCTCCAAAATACATAAAATGAACCCTAACAGCACTGAAAAAAGAGACAGACAGCTCCACAATAATAGTAGGAGACTTCAACATACCACTTGTGGCGAAGGACACAACTTCCAGAAAGAAGTTCAAGAGACACGAAGATTTAAATGCCACATTCAACCAACTTGACCTCATAGACATATACAGAACACTCTACTCAACAGCAGAGAAGCATACTTTCCTTTCCAATGCAAACAGAACACTCTCCAGAACACACCACATATTAGGCCATAAAGCAAGCCTTAACAGAATACAAAGCATCAAAATACTACAAAGCATCTTTTCTGACCATAAAGCCATAAAAATGGAAATCAGTAACAGAAAAACTAAGGAAAAAAACACATGGAAACTGAATAACACCTTGCTCAAAAACTACTAGGTTACAGAAGAAATTAAGGATGGAATAGAGAAATTCACAGAATCAAATGAGAATGAAAACACATCCTACCAGAACCTTCGGACACAGCAAAAGCAGTGCTCAGAAGTCAGTGAATAGCAATAAATGCACACTTCCAAAAAGAAAAAAGGGCCAAAATCAAAACATTAATCATACAACTGGAACAAATAGGAAGAGAGCAGCAAAAGAAATCCTTGGGCACCAGAAGAAAGCAAATAATAAAAATCAGAGCAGAATTAAATGAAATAGAAAACATAAAAACAACTGAAAGAGTTAACAAGACCAAAAGCTGGTACTTGGAAAAGATTTAACAATATTGATAAACCACTGGCCAAACTGACAAAAAAAAACAGGAGAGGAAGTAAATAACCCAAATAAGAAATCAGATGGGCGAAATTACAACAGACCCAACTGAAATTAAAAGAATCGTAACAGAATACTATGAAAAATTATACTCTAACAAATTTGAAAACCTAGAG